GAAATAGTATAAAGTCCAACTGTATCTTCCGGTAGAGAGACGGAAGTGTGATGGTCACCTGATCTCACACAGCTCTATAGAACTGCCCTAGTAGTAGTAGAGAGATCAGTCCATTCTGATGAGAAGGTGGGTGGCCCCAACACATTATAAGCTACACAGCTATCGGGCTGGACTAACCTATGTTAAGCTTATAACTAGCCACAGGCCAGACTCTTTTTTGTATGCCGCTTTTGTATAAATATTGAACCTTTAAAAGTTCCCCGGCCGCCTGTCATCTTTGTTTATTGCCTTTTATCTAGGACTAAGCCTACCACTAGGCAATTTACTTGCTGTTTCGAGTCTTCTCTACATTGTTTGTCTTTGTTTCAGTTTTACCCTCTTTGATAGTCAATAAACCTGTTGTCGAATGAGCCATTTGCCTTCAGAGTCCTGATTGCGAGAGTCATTTAAACTTTCCATCGAAAGCCCATGCACGAGTTTAAGCAGAAATCACCATGTCTTTGCGGGACGGAACAGTTTTATATAGAAATCAATATTATCTCTCCAAAACTGTTTATACAATTTTCACAGGCAAAAAGAAAAGTAGTGTTAATCTTGCTATCCAAAAGATATGTTTGGGATTTAATTAACGTACGATAAGCAAAAAGAATCAATCAATCTTTCGTTATTGTACCCAAATATTTCAAGAGTCTTTTTTTTTATTTAAGTACAAGTGTACTGTTGCTTCTTATTCTCGTTAAGAATTCCTCGTTTACATATATATATTTTCACGCGATACAAGGTCCAATGTCCACTCGAGCTGGAGGGTCTCTGAGTGAGATTTGCATGGGGCAGGGAAGTAAGAGAATATTATGTGGACAAATATGATAGATATCTTTTGTCCCTGGGCTTAAAGAGACCAAGATTGTTGTTGTCAGGGAAGCATTTTCTCGGGAGTTTTTTCCTCAAAATAACAGTTCTGGAGAAGAATCTGTCTTAGTGGAACTTGTTTTTCATCGATGAAACACGAAAGGAATGGGGATAGTTTTCGACCGTGAACACGGTACGGCGGTTGGGTCCGAACTGTCAAGGTCCGAGCTGGTGGCACGAAGAAACGCATCTCGTCCAAACATCCGCCATAGCTACAGCGATATAACTGACAGATTGTCAAGGAGATTGTCAGAATTCACCGCTGTAGAGGAGCAGTGATGTTGTATAGTAACGTAGCACTTTTCCTTTGTTTTTAACGTAACTTTATATTAATATATAAATAACGAAAATCTTAGTAATCCGTATGGATAATTCCAAAGAAGATGAAATCCTGAGAGCTCAATGTTAATTCAGAGCGAATAATTTAATTTAAAGAAAACGAAAAACAGATTACTTTAAGTCTCCATTGTAATAATTTATTTCACCAGAGAATTTTATCCTTCTCTGGATCCTGAGACTTCACTTTCAAAAGGTGACACGAAAAATGAAATTAAAATTTACACTTTTGATGGGCAGTATTAAGTTGACATAGAGGGTGGTGAGGCGTGTTATGAGAGACATGGTGGATTTATTTTTATATTATATATATATATATATATATATATATATATATGAAAAATTTCCCAGAGTTAAACTGTAGAAAAAGACAATATTTATAAATATAAAAGACAATAGGAAAAATGTAATAGTTGCCAACGCGTTTCGTCCGGGCTTTTTCCCTATTTCACCTTTCTTAACAGAATTACTGCTCTCCCAAACAAACGTACACAACAATATCGTAAAATCAAAAGAAAATGGTTTAATCTGTCAACACAACGATAAAAACAATATCTCCACACGTGACAGTAATTGACGTAATTTTCAGTTAACAGTATGAAAATAGAGTTCTCGAAATCCTTCCAGTTCCTAAGGACATTTTGCTATTATTAGTTACTTTGTTTAATAAATTCCTTTTGTTTTTGCCTTGAAAAAGTCCACATTGGACGAAACGCGTCGGCAACTATTACAGTTTTCTTATTGTCTTTTACATTTCGTTGTCCTCGTCGGCATCCGTCCGTCTCGAGATGCGATAGGGTAGCACGGTGCGCTACAAGGTTGGGCGGGATATATGGAGAACTAGGGCTGCCCGGACATCTAGTTCCCCCTCTCGGTCTTGCTAGCAGAGTCCAAAGGAGAGGATAAAATAATACAATTTGGTACCAGCGCGGCTGCAGGAGTTGCCGGAAGGTAGCACAAAGTGCCGTCCATCCGCCTTAGGGGCTCCACTCCGGGTTTGAATTCAGAGATGTCCTCCTAGACCAGTTGACATCCAAGGCTATAGAGCCCAGTCTGTATTGGTATTTACCCATAGCTGGAGGGAGAAGCAGAAGATTCACACCTTTCCCATTATATATATATATATATATATATATATATATATATATATATATATATATATATATATGAAAAAGTGTATATAAATATAAATAAATATATATATGTATAATTATTTATATATTATATGCGCGGTACTTATTAGAAAGCGCTCAATATCAGAGATAGAGCTAACATATTTGGTTGGTTAGATGTAATCATCTATCCAACCAAATATATATATATATATATATATATATATATATATATATATATATATATATGGCTTATCTAAATAATCACGTTAGATAACACGCTCTTTCCCAGAAACAGTAACTATGGTCTGCTCAGCATAGTTGGAGTATAAAGCACAGTGGGTGTTGAACAAACACAAATTTGCCTGAGTGAGCGTCTGCAATAGGAATTGGCTAGCCGCACTAATAGACAGGTATCCTCGAATACGAGTGGTCAGCTATAGACATAATGAAATAAGATTTGGGGGACTAAATCTCAATGAAGATATCTTAGTGATCGAATCTCTATTACTACACTGTTATTTTTGGAGCTTCACAGGAAACTATTTATCGGTAGTCTTTTGACAGACTAAGCTAAGCTTAGTACATTTCATGTGTATATGTGGGTAGCAAAATTGAACCCGACGAACCATGTTCAAATTCTGACAGTGTCTTTTGCGTTCATTTTGGAATCCATTTTTTTCCTACGCCGGTTAAATGGATAGCGGCTCAGAAGAAGAAGTCGGAGAGCAGAGTTCGAATCACAGTCGGGTGCGTTGCATTCACTTACGCGCAAAAATATTTGGTAAAGATATGACTCCATCTCCCCCAAACTATAGGTTAAATAGTATTAATTGTATCCATAAAAATCATTCTTATTCTCCAAAAACATTTCACGCGCACAATAAAAAAAATATTTAAATTATCACACACAGGGGTGATAAACTGTAAAAAACAAATCAATCAGCAATGACTAAAATAAAACAGCAAAGTGCCTTCTCTAGTCTTGTATGTCATCTAGTCCTGGTGTCTATCATCTTTCCCAAAACAGCCAGGTCAGTTCACAAATATTATAGAAAAGAAAGCTGTGGATGGCCTAAGATCGGAATAGACATAACATGAAATAACTGGTGAATTCATGTGTCACTAGATGTTTCATATTTTTGAAACTAACTTCAAGATAAATATATCTCATCGATAAGGACAAAGCAATCTGACAGTCACCAAACACACTATTGATTTCACGCTATACACGCTGCCTACATCTTCAAACATTCAATTTCCGATATAAGCCAATTTCCTCCCATACATCGAGCAAATCTTAAACAATATAATTAAATATTATCTGAAATATTTTCATACATTTAAAACGATGAAAATCTATCTACCATTGTCAGAACGAAAAAATCTATCTATCGTTGTCAGAACGAAAACTGGTATCGTCGAACTTGCATTGAGATTCTAGCAGATTTCACTGCACTCACTTTCACGCAAATACCTCTGGGAAAAGAGTGAATTTGTCTCATCTCCCCAATAATTTCAGAAATGGAATGATCTCTCTATCAGGTGTAGAGATGCAGTTCACACCAGACACCGAATTCGTTCTTAGCGTTCATTTTCTTCCATTCAAATGTTTGTGGCTTAAAAATAACATTTGGCCAGATTGTTACCCACGAAATAAAACCATATGACTAGTTTGTAGCAGTAAGCAAATTTTATTCGGTTGTAACCTTCTGCTGTAGATAAGCGAGACAGAAATGAAGCGGAGATAAGTGGGGGGGGTCGTGCGTTTGTTTTCGCGTCGTGGCGTGTGGTCACTCGTTCCTCTCTGTGAATCTCTCTGTTTTGTTGCTCCTCGGGGCCACTGTCTTATAGATATCAGTCTTCCTTTAATTGTCACCATTGTCTAAATGAGTAATTTAACAAACACCGAAGTCATGGCTTCCTGGATAGGAAGTTGTGGAGAGCCATGGTCGCTAACGACCTGAAGGGACAAGGCACATAAAAGAGGATAGCACAGAATTTCCTCATGTCTATCAAGCATTGGGAGTAATTTATACCTTCGTCTGACAGTTGAATGTATTGCTTAAAGCTACAAAGGATAGGAAGTTGTGGAGAACCATGCTCGCCAACGTCATGAAGGTACACAGCACATAAAAGAACCCAGGCCTCTATCAAGCATATTTTTACAATTATGTTCACCCTGAAACGGCCCAAGAGCCACTGTAGGTAAAGGGTTACAGTATTAGAAGCATAGTTTATGGTCATATGTGGGGAAAATAACGGTTGACCCTAGACTTGAATAGGTTAAGTTTGAATTGATAGGGAAAGCATCCTCTTGGGAGTCAGTTCCACAAGGTAGCGGTTTGTGGAAAGCTCCTGAAGTGAAACTTAGCATTAAATCACTCAGTGACCTCTTTTCTCAGGGTCGTTTTACTTTTGAAGTCCGCTTCACTTAGTTAATAATCAAGACAATAACTGCCTGAAACAATTTGAGATGTTTCCAATTAACAAGATATCGGCTGATAGTGCCACACAGACAGGCAGCCACTGTAATGTACACTTGGAACCCGATAATTTGTGCTACCTTGACATGGGAAACCTAGGCAGTGTTCACAGGGCTTCACTAGCGATGTAGTTTTCTTTATTTGCAGATGGTTCAGATCACGAGGTGTCGTGTCCCGTTAACTTTACATACCGCCGATTTTTGACACGTCGAGAGAGAGAGAGAGAGAGAGATAGATAGATAGATAGATAGATAGATAGATAGATAAGCAAATTAAGATAGATAGATAGATAGATATAGATAGATAGATATGAACTACTTAGATAAATATGAACAGACTGAAATAGATAGATAGATAAATAATATGAACAGACTTAGATAAATATGAACAGACTGAAATAGATAGATAGATAGATAGATAGATAGATAGATAGATATGAACAGACTTAGATAAATATGAACAGATTGAAATAGATAGATAGATAGATAGATAGATAGATTAGATAAATATGAACAGACTGAAATAGATACAGATATGAACAGATTAGATAAATATGAACAGACTGAAATAGATAGATAGATAGATAGATAGATAGATAGATAGATAGATAGATACATATGAACAGACTTAGATAAATATGAACAGACTGAAATAGATAGATAGATAGATAGATAGATAGATAGATAGATAGATAGATAATCCGCAGCATCTTCACAGATGATGGCCGTCTAATCACGTTCGCTCCCTACCTCGCACCTCTCTCGTTCATGACCCCGAAGGTTGAGGCCGGCTCCATGACTTGTTACACAAGTGACAGACGAAAAATGTCCTTGCCACAACCTTGATGTATTCACACCGCTGTGCACAATTCCTGTGTACCCTCATGTGCCTTTTCAGTCCGGACCTTGTTTTGCATACCAAGTAATACAGCACATAGGTTGTGACACTCTACGTCTAGGGAATCTCAAGGTTGATTTAAATCCTTATGTGACTTCACAAGATTCACCCAGCCAGGATTTGAAAGAAGAATCCGGTGAGAGAAATCACATGTCCAGCCCTTGATACCCTCGTCGAGTCAATGAGTCGACGCTTCAGCCGTTTGTGTTCCAGGCGACATTCTTTGACGAGTTGATAGATAGAGAGGAACAGGCGGGAATAGATAGATAGATAGATAGATAGATAGATAGATAGATAGATAGATAGATAGATAGATAGATAGATAGATAGATAATTTTCTGCATGGATAAGCTATTCATTTCATTCTTAACACACATAAAGCGAAAGCGTCATTATTTTGATTAACATTGCAAGTGAATCTTTCTAATGACTTAAAAGGAAGAAAATCTTTAAATTTAATGACAGGGCAGCTTGACGTATACCACCTGCAACTGTCTTCGATTAAGTCTTCGAATATTTCAGGTTACCAATTTTTATTCTCTTCAAAAATGCTTATTTTCTTATAGTCTTAAGAGAGTTTCCAACATTCTAAGTTGCCATTTTCCACGTCAAGTTCCTTTAGGTTTTTTCTGAATAATAAAAAACATGTTTCTCTGAATCGCAGAATACAATCCTACAAGAATTCTACAGATCTCTTCAATATTTTTAACCTTTTTTCATCTTCCAAAACTCATTAAGAATTTATTAGGAAGATCTCTTTTATAATATTAAATAAAATACATTATATATTTATCAGTCACGCAGCCTTATCTTTTCCTACATATTAATGAGATATTCTATTCTTAACTGACTCCAATAATTAAAAAAAATGGTTTACCATAACAATTGTATATCTCATTAGTATCAAAGAAATGTCAGGCTGCTAAGAAAATTATTTTTTTCTTTGGTTTCATGTTAGCCTCATTTCGATGTTTTTATTTTAATGATTTAAAAAGGAGAATTCTTCCTTTCGTACATGAGGCAATAAAGTTAATTTTGAATGAGGCAATAGGTCTAATTACATAGAAAAATTGTTTGAAAAAAGCTAAATTATTTCGCAAATGCAATATTGACTCTATATTAATAAAATGAAAATACCCAATTCAAGTCAATAAAAAATAAATAAATAAATAAAACCGATACATATTTGAATTTTACATTCCAACCAACTTCGGGCCGTATATCTCTCTAGATGTTAATGTGAAAGTTAAACATCTAGAGAGATATACGGCCCGAAGCTGATTGGAATGTAAAAGACATTTTACTTTTCATTTGCATATGACTTGATTTAATAATCAAGATTTTAATTTCGTGTTGAGATCTAAGAAAAAAAGAATTCCAGACTGGTTTTATTGTGCATTTAAATCACGTGTCAACAGAAATGTGGTTATACAGAAAGATAATGAGAATTCTATACACGCAGCGAGTAAGCAATATGGAGGACTTCAAGAAAATATCAACAGAAAGAACACTTATACCCAGGATCAGAAGCCATGGTCTGGTGCTCCTGCTTGATAAAATACGAAGACATTTTTTTATAAGCATTTCACCCCAAGCAACGCTGGAAGCCACTAGCATGGCAGGGGTTACATAGGATTTGGAGCGAGATCAGATATGAGTGATAGAGGAAAGAATGAAGAGAAGGATAATGGATAGATCAAGGCAACTGGAGATGTCTATTGATATTACATTTGAATAGTTTTATAGCTATCAGGGGAACAGGAAAAGGGAAGGGAGTTCCACAGGCGAAAGGTGCGAGATATGAATCTATTGGAGTAGAAGAGACGGCTACATTTAACAGTTTCAACAATGAAAGGGTGAGAGCGGGATGCCAGCCTCGTAGGGACGCTTAAATTCATGAAGTCTGGGAACCAGCGAAAGCAGCTCATCAGAGCAATTACCATGAAAGTATTTGTAAAAAAGACACAGAGAGGTGATGGCATGTCTGTGAGGGAGTGACTGCAGACGAGATGCCAGGTCAGGGCCAATTTCATTGCATATCCGTCTGTGGATCTTATCAAGAACCCCGAGGCAATGCTTTTGGTTCTTACCCGGAATCCAGGCTTCAGTCATATTCCCACTGCCGTGATGAAGTTTATATATATATATATATTGTTTTCTATGAATACTTTCATGGAAAATATCCTGATGAATTCTCGTATCTGGTATTTGATCTCTATGAATCGAAGCGCAGTAATAGACTGGAGACAATGTCTTATAAATTTACAGCTGAGCTGGACAGATGTAACCGCAAGTTCTAAGCTAACAGTTTCATTTCTCGCACTTCTCGCTTGTGGGGCTCTATTCTGGCTTCTTGATTTCCAGTCGAACTTGAACTTCAAAAATTAAAAATCAATGTCGTTTTCTATCCTCTCAATTTCTCTTGTTTTTTGTTGCCTTGCTTGGGATGAAAGGATTAAAAAGAGAAAAAAAAAACAGTTTTCAGAATATGGGCATGGCTCTCCACAACTTTCTATCCTTTGTAGCTCTAAGCTCTATACATTAATCTCATCACCGAACGATCCCAGATATTTCACAGACCACGATGAATGGGTGTTCTCTCAGGGAGGTTCGATCCCTTGAGCTCCTCTTAGGACTTAGCGCAGACCTCAAATAGAACTTGTATATGCGTTTAAATATAAAAAATGTAGGAAAAGTTGCCGGTGCCGATCCAGTAAGTACCTGACTCTTGCTATCCTCTATCTTCACAAGAGCGAGGCCAGGCTGAAAATGGAGGCTTCTTTTATGTGCCGTACCCCTTCGGGACGTAGGAAATATGGACATCCACATCTTCCTGTCTCATTGTAGCTCTTAACATGTTTTGTCTTTTTGTTATTTCTCCCAGCGCCTTGTCTGCCAAACATTTGCTCAAGCCCATTAATAAGGCAAGATGTTTTTTTCCCCTGAACCTTATTCTCTCTATCCGTTCCATGAGTATAAGATTTTACAAGCCTTCCTTTCTCATTGTGTACCTCAGAAATTAAAAAAAAAAGACTTGCAGACCTACAGAAAGAACAAGACATACCACAATTTGATCTTTGATTTCAGGCAGATAGTAACGAGAATCAAACGCCAACAAAATGCTCTAGTATCTCAACTACAAAGCTGGACCTAAAATAAATTAATTTAGACGCTATTAATTCCCATAGACAATTAAACTGACTTATCTGCCTATTTGTTATTTGTCGGCATATCAATATATTTATGGGGCATTTGACGCTGAAATTTAATTTTCTTGGGAGCTTTGAAGTAAAAAAATATATAATATATAATTCTGCTTTCGCAATTGAATAAATGGTAAATGATACTCAGCTTTTGTGCATATAGATGTTTGTGTAGACATAATTACTAGAGGCGATGATATGTGTTTTGTTTTAGCCTTGTTGAAATTATATTTTGGGATAGAGTTTGATTTCTTTAAGAAATTATAAGATATTATATGGAATTAATGTCATGATAAAGTTCTTTTATGTTGGTTGTTTGTTAGGAAATGGATTTCCGTGAAGTTGCTACAGTTTTTTAATATGTGACTCATTGTATATTGTTCTTGGTACAAAATGGAGGTGGTTCTCCTTTTAGAATATAAATATGTGTCATCATGAAGTGTCCGATATGAAGTCTGGACATTATTAGCTCATCTTGGTTTGGTTTGTTTTATTTTACGGTATATCAACCTGAATGGGTTATTTAATGCCATCTACATTTTCATTGTTGGTAATATGTTTTCTTTCAAAAATTTATTTCTGGTAAGAATTTTCCTTTGCTGGTAATATTTTTTTTCAAAAAAATGTATTGCTGGTAATAATAGTTTTTCAAAAATGTATTTTTTTACAAAGTATTTCTGTATTAAAACCTATTTTTACACTTTCATAGTTGTTTGACCCCAGTTTGGGGTCTAGCTATTTGCCCATAGCTGGGACCCTAACAGGTGCTACCACTCCGGGTCAGGGTGAACCTGGGAACACCAGCAATTAAGAAATGGTTCTACGCTCCTCAAAACCTCCTGATCAGAGGCCTTGGACGTAGTTTATCATCATACCCAGGACGCGGATGTAGTTTATAGTCATACACAGGACGCTAGCTCATCTTGTTTTTAGTTTTAAGCCATTCTTATATAAAATTTTGATATTGTATAATTTATTTTGGGGATAGCCGCTTTTATAGTTTCTGCTATTTTTTCTATTATAAATGTGTTAATCCTTGATATGAGGTCTGCGAAAAAATGCATTGTAATTTTACTATAAATTTGTATTGCTGTTATTTTTTTATATAAAATTATATTGCATGTAATTTTATTCTAAAAATATACTTTCATACCTTTTTTTTTTTTTGTAGGGGTTTACTTTTTGGCCATATTGTTAAGATAATTACAAACACTGACTCCATGAAAACATATAGATCAAGAACTCGGGGGTACTACAAAGATCAAGTCGAAATATTCCCTAGACAGCAAATCGAAAACAAATCTAACCCCGCAGATTTGATAATGGGTTCATTTCGAAAGTCCCTCATTGTTAACTTTTGGATACATGAAGAATGTTAGATGGCGTTATGGCTGAAACTTTTTTATATAAACAACAATGAATATATTAGTCCGACTGTAAATAATTTAATTTACGTGGAATTTCTTATGGTTACCATTTCGAAACAAAGAAAAGAATACTGAATTGTTATTCAGTATCAATCTGCCTAAACGGCAGTGAATGCTGGACAATCTCCTCAAAGACGAAGAAGAGATTTAAGGCAACAGAGACGAGATTCTACCGAAGGATACTGAGAAAACCTTGCACTGAAATATGAGCAAAGACGAGGTTTTAGGAACAGTGGGAACACAACTCATAATTAAAATAAAATGTAACAATTAAAATTCCTAGGGTATACAATGGGAAAAACTGCTATGAAAATTTGAGATTTACTGGATATATTGGTGGCAAGAGTGAGAGAGACGAAAGCAAGGACTATCTTATCTAATATTTGTGCAAATGGTTGACAGAGCAGAGTTTGAGAGAGTTAGCAAAAAGACACAATTTTAGTTAGACCTACAAAGGACAGCAAATTGAAGAGAAAAATGATTCCAACGTCTTGAAGAGACTTGACGCTTATAAAAATTATGTTTTGCATTGCTAAGTATTTTTATCCGTCTTTGACAGCATGAATCTGGTTAAGAAATGAAGTTTGATTAAAGCCCTGACTGATGGAAACTGAGTGATTAAACGAACTAATCGTGAATAGGGATCTTAGTGATCATTAGCGTGGATATATTGAATAGCCAAAGATTGAAGCATTAGTGAATCTCAGTTGCTGT